TTTACTATTTGCTTGAAAGCTGATCCTTAGGGATAAGTTCAGTTGCAAGCTTGAAGGGTGTCTAAGGGCTACAATTTCAGGGATTCCGGTAGTCTCTATCAGACTAGTAAATCTAGTCTTTTTTATGGTTTTGAATTTTTGCTTTACATTTTTTTTTCTCCTTCTTTGTCTAGGACTTTCTATTGTGATCCTAATCAGAGCAGTCAGTAATGATAGCTGGGCATCATCTAGTTCTCCTGACCTCCAAGTAGTAGAGGCTATGATTAGTGTGGTCCATTAATCCTTTGGACTAATTGTTTGCTTGTGTGTTTGATTTTCTTCATTCTTCTTCACTCTGGTTGACAAGAGACCAATAACTATATCTTAGATGGCTACTCACAACCTTTTAAGACCCCAGTCACTACTCAGTGAAGTAGGATGTAGAACATTGTCTCCGTGGCCTATGTTATGCCAATTCACCTAGATGCCCCATGAGACCTAAGTCCCCAAGCCCAACAAGTCATTTTCTCAAGGTATTGAGTTATTGATAAGAAGTTTTCAGAACTTTGTCCCCTGTTTGTGCTACAATATCCTTGGATATATTTAAAGCACATACAAGTACATATGTGGAAATAACCTCTGCCAATTTATGTATACTCATGGATGTGCTCCTATTTACCTTAATACTATTATATACACAATACTACAATAATAGTAATAACAAACATCATCTTCAAGTAGCTACATAGTTACATATTGGCCATTTTTAATCAGAGAAACATTTGTTTCACTATCCTGGGGATGACTCTTTAGAGAGAAATGGTATCATATTTATCATCAAAAGGAACATTTCATGATCTATCTTGACGTATAGTCCTGTCAGTGATAGGATGATAGCCATACACCCATAAGGAAGACTAGGTAATATAACTATTATTCAAATTTATGTGCTAAGTATTAATGTCAAAAATAAAGAAACTGAAAATGTTTACTAACTTCTGCAGTCTGAAACTGATCAAACATACAATCAAGATCCTTTGATAATCAGTCATGATTGGAATGAGTTAAGTTGGAAACAAAGACAAAGGATCAATAACTAGAAAACATGGCCATAGTGATAGAAACAACACCGGAGATTGTATGATAGAATTTTGTAGGACAAATTACTTATTCATTGCAAATACCTATTTCAACAATATAAATAGTGTCAAAGCATGTGGATTCACTAGATAAAATACACAGGAATCAAATTAACAGCTGTCAAAAGAGATGATGAAGAAGCTCAATATCAATCAGAACAAGGCCAACTGTAGAATAAACTATCAATTGCTCATATGCAAGTTCCAACCGAAGCTGAAGAAAATGAAAACAAGTCCATAAGAGCCAAAGTACAAGTTGAGTACATCCCACTTGAATTTAAAGACAAGCTCAAGAAGAGATTTGATGGACTGAAAACTAATAATGATCAAAGATCAGATGAGTTGTGGGATGACATCAAAGACATCATACAGGAAAAAAGCAAAAGGTCATTAAAAGGACAGGGAAGAAAGAAAAGACCAAAATGCTGGCAGCACTCACTCTATGCCAAAAAAATTTGGAAGAAGCTACCTGACCAATTGACTGGGAGAGAGCCATTTAATTTTCTATTTCCAAGAAAAGTGATCCAACTGAATGGAGAATTTATTGAACAATAGCACTAATATCATATGCAAGTAAAATTATGCTGAGGATAAATCATAAACAGTTGCAGCAGTATATCAAGGGAACTGTCAGAAATTCAAGCTGGATTCAGAAAAGGACATGGAATGAGGGATACCATTGCTGATGCCTGATGGATGTTGGCTGAAAGCATAAAATATCAGAAAGATGTTTACCTATTTTTTATCAATTATGCAAAGGCATCAGACTATATGAATCATAAAAAATTATGGATAATAGTGTGAAGAATGGGAATTTCAGAACACTTAACTGTGCTCATATAAAAACCTACATGTATACTAAGAGGCAGTTGTTGGAACAGAACAAGGAGACACTGAGTGGTTTAAAATCAGGAGAGATGTGCAACAGGGTTGTATCCTTTCATATTTTTTTCAAGCTGTATGCTGAGCAAATAATGCAAGAAGCTGGACTACATGAAGAAGAAAAGAGCATCAGGATTGGAGGAAGATGCATTAAAAACTGACAGTATGCAGATGACACAACCTTGTTTGCTGAAAGCAAAGAAGACTTGAAGCATTGACTGATGACAGTCAAAGTCTATAACCTTCAGTATGGGTTACACCTTAACATAAAGAAAAGAAAAATCCTCACAACCAGTTCAGTAAGCAACATCATGATAAACAGAGAAAAGATTGAAGTTGTCTAGTATTTCATTTTATTTGGATACATAATCATTGACTGTGGAAGCAGGAGTCAGGAAATCAAATGACATACTGCATTGTGCAAATCTGCTGCAAAAGACTTCTTTAAAGTGTTTAAGTAAAAAGATGTCACTTTGAAGACTAAAGTGTGTCTGACCCAAGCCATGGTGTTTTCAATAGCCTCATATGCATGCAAAAGCTTGACAATGATAAAGAAGACTGAAGAAGAATTGATGCTTTTGGATTATTGCATTGGCAAAGAATACTGAGTATGCCATAGACTGCCAGAAGAATGAACAAATCTGTTTTGGAAGAACTACAGCCAGAATGCTCCTTGAAAGTGAAGATGGCAAGACTTCATCTCATGTACTTTGGACATGTCATCACATCAGGAGGGACCAGTTCCTGGAGAAGGATATAATTCTTGGTAAAGTAGAGGGTCAGTAAAAAAGAGGTAAACCTTCAATGAGATGAATTGACACAGTGACTGCAACAATGGGCTCAAATGTAGCAACCATTGTGAGGATGACACAGGACCAGGAAGTGTTTCATTCTCTCCAACTAACCTCAAGGTTGGTGGTTCCAATCTACTCAGCAGTATTACAGAAAAAAGACCTAGACATCTGCTTTCATAAAGATTATAGGCAAGAGAGTCTTATGGAGCATAGTTCTACTCTACAATACATGAGGTTGCTGTGAGTTGAAGTAAACTCAACGATAACATGTTTGGGTTATTTTATTATTTATTTATTTATTTATCATGTATCAGACATATATGTAATACTGAGGACAAAAAAATGAAGAGAATACCCTGAGGAAACTCACAGTCTAGTGGGGATGAGAAAAAGAGCATAAGCAACTCAAGTACTGTGATGTAGTCATGTGCCATTCACTTAGAGGAGTGAAAGGATGATGAGGAGGAAGAGCTGTGCTGAGGCAGGTCATCTACAAATTACAGCAAAGTCACATCCCAGCCCAGAGTGCACCTCTCTGGAAAGCTCCTCATGCCATCTGGCCTATATTCTTTTAAATTCTCTATTTTCTTTTTTGGGCACACGTTTCCTTTTTCCACATCCCAGTGTGTAGTGGGGACTCCAATTTCTTGTAGATCTTTTGTTTAGGAAAGATAACTGGGTGATTTCACAAGGAACTTTACTGTTAAAATTCCAGCTTCCTTAATGGAGGAATAGATAAAAGGGTGCTTCTGGGATGTGGGCTAAGGGTGTGGGCTTGGGGGTTTATTTCTTTTTGGCCACTGGAACTAGGAAGGAGGCTATGGGCAAGAGGGAGGAGCTGGAAGAGAACCTGTCCTGGGGAAGGACAATCACAGAAAAGACCCAAGTTTAGTTAAGTAAACAGAAGCATCTCAGGGCTTGAGGACAAGTAGGACAAATGAGGAGAGGTGCGGAATCAGGCTTGGGTTTCTTACACTCTTCAGGAGGTATGTATGACAATGAGGAGGGGGCTAGTGAATTGGAGAGAGAAGATATAAAACAGTGGGCTTTCTACTTCTGTACTTTAGGTCTAGTTACCTGATGTACCTCTCAATGACACAAATAAGAAACACCACAGTAAAACAGTGGCATTTAGTAAGCTTACATTTTTTTCCCTCAGAGTCCATTGACATATTGTAAAGACCTTGCAACTGAAGAGATTGCTGAGGAGAAACCTGGTGTTATAGATTGAATTGTGTCACACAAAAAGATTTTTTGAAGTGCTAATCTCTGACATCTGTGAATGTGACCTTGTTTGGAAATAGGATCATTGAAGGTGTTATCAGTTAAATGAACACTAGGTCATATTGGAGGAGCTCTGGTAGCATAGTGCCTAAGGCACTTGACTGCTAATCAGAAGGCTGGAAGTTCAAACCCACCAGCCACTCCTCAGAAGGAAGGTTGGGCAATCTACTTCCATAGTGATACCGCCTCAGAAACCCAAGGAGGGGTTGCTATGAGTCGGATCCTACTCGACGGCACATAACAACAACAACAACAGGTCATATTGGAGTAGGTTGTGTCCTAATTCACTGTGAATGGTATCCTATAAAAGAGAAGAGATGCAAACGGGCACACAGAGGGAAGATGGGCATGTGACAATGGAGGTAGAGCCAGGAGTGATGCTGCCACTAGCCAAGGGATGCCGGGAGCTGCCAGAAACTGAAAGAGACAAGAAAGAATCCACCCCTAGAGACTTTGGGGTGAACATGGCCCTGCTGACACCCTGAATCTGGACACCTGGCCTCCAGAACTGTGAAAGAATAAATTTCTGTCACTTTAAGCCACCTAGTTTGTGGTACTCACTTACAGCAGCCCTGGGAAACAAGTACACTTGCAAACACTTTGAATTTCAATGGGATTTTGGGAGCTATTGGTTTTTTCTAGTGCTGCACCTTTTCATCAGGTGTCACTGTTAACACTAAGAACTTGGTGTTATTAAGCATCTCAAGTACATTGACTCATTCCATCTTCACAACAGCCCTGTAAAGTATGCGGGAGAGGCCTCACCATTGTTTTATTTCACAGACGCCTTTCAATGAGATTAAACCTTGTCCACAGGTCAGTGGTAGAACCAGGGCCTAACCTGTGTGTCTGACCCCAGCTTCAAGCTCTTGTTCCTCTCTCTCTCTACCTTAACAGGCAGGGAGCAAGACAGACAACTTACCCCCTTTTCTTCTTCCACAGAAAGAAAACTTTGGTTGATCCAGTTCACAGACAGGATAGGAGAAATTCAAAATGGATGACCCTTTTGTGAGAAGAGTTACATCAAGAAATAGCTCATTGATGTCCTCTCCTAAGGGAAAGAGAAGAACAGCTTTACCAGTGAGTTTCGTTTATATAACAGGCATTTAAAATTTATAACAGGATGAACCAAAAGACTTTTCTTTTTCAGAAGTCTGCTCTCTGTGGGAAAAGTTCTTTTCTTGGTAACACAGCACTTAGGTAATGCTATAAGGGATTATGATGCCACGTATGAAGGGTGGCCCGGGGTATGGAAGGTGGCCCCTTCTCAATCTTTATTTCTCTGGGGCAAAGTGGTTTACCTGTCCACTTCCCTACTCATAAAGGGGAAATATGGCCCCTTTATGCAAGGTCTGAAGGTCTGGCTTTTAGAACTTCTCAGCTACATAGCACTATGAGTCTACAACATAGTGGGATAGTGGGTGGCATGTGGTCAAATCTACCCACACATCCACTGTTGCTAGACAGATGTTCCATTGTAGTTACAGTAGGAAGTGCCATGATGCACCATGGTCATGCCTTTTAATTCTCTGCTTTTTTCTCACCTCCTCCCTTTAATCTTACAATCTCTCATTCCTCCTTCCATTCCTCTTTTTTCTTTCTTTCTCAAGCTGCTGTAGAGTCAGATATTGTGCAAGTTTCTGGAAATGCAAAGATGCATGAGAGTTCTTGGCCTCTGAGAAGGTTCCCTAAGTTTCCCTGGAATGATTCCATATGCTAAGTTTTTTTCAAATCTTTTCCTGTGCTGTTGATAAAACCATTTAAAAGGGAGATAGTCTATTAACTATAGAACATATATTGCCTAACCATAATGACACAATCATAAAAATTGAACAATCAGAAAGTGTTTTAGCTCATTGATGGGGAGGGGTTGTGTCAATGTTTAAAAATTTGTTAGGTGTTTGGGAAACAAAATAGCACAAGTGACAAACTGTGCTGCTGGTAGTAAATTTGTTTGTTGCTGAGATAACTGAGCACAAGCTCTTTCCTGAGTAGACATCAATACTTAGGCTCAAAATATTCTTTCTTTTTCTGGTTATATTGATTCCAGGTGTTTATATTGTTTAAATGAGTGCCTAGAGTCTTTTGCAGTACGAAAACATAGCGTTAAATGAGAATTTTACTCTATTTTGATATTATCAGAGAGAGAATGGAGAATGAAGATGAAAAGAGTTAATTCCAGAGAGTAGTGGGGAACAGTTTAGCCAGCCATTATAGTTACCATGTCATTGGGTGTAAGAAGCATGAAGCAGCTGTGCAATGTTTCCTTTCATGCTAATAATTATTACTTACTCAGAATGATTCCAAATCTAATGTTGATATTTGGTTTTAATAGTTTGGAACACTGGTCAATAGAAAAGCCAAAGTCTTGTAATGAATCTGCCAAAGAGAAAACAAGAGATTAGTTGTGAGTATATTACATACTCTGCAAAGTCATATTCAAAATTCACATCAATTATACCATTAATTTCTGTATGAATACCTCTATTAATTCAAAATTATATTGCCTCAACAATTTTTGTGTGTGTGTGTGTGTGTAAACTCATGACAATTTCACAAGCCACTCGCAGTTTCTCCAAAGTCAGTATTGGTCATTGTCACTGTGACATATTTCCTTGTTGCTAAAAAAATTCTTATATTGCTCTACTGCTTTTATTTCTTGAACGTTTGGTCTTAAAAATGCTCATTGACTGAATCAAACATTTCTTTCCTTTACAATTTTTTTATTGTCATTTGAGGAATAGCTTACAGAGCAAATTGGTTTTCCATTCAACAATCCACATTCATTCTGCACTAAATATTTCATAAATGTATTTATTAATATAATTAAAAGAGAGATATATGAATATTTTTAAAGTCAAGACCTGCCTTTATGATTCCATTCCATTCCACATAATTTTTTTTTTCCACAAAGATCTCATTATATGCGAGGTATTATGTTAGCTATGGTAGAGGCTACAAAGATAAAGAATACTTTTAAAACATAATTTCGGCTCATTCAAAAAACTCCAATAGCTCTTCTACACCCAGAATAAAATCCAGAAATACTCTACAGGCCCCATCTTCCACATTCCATGTCATGAATACGTCCTTCATAATACATCCTTCATTCCTTGAGGATGAATGGCAACATACATACCCAGAAAATTCTCACCATGCTTGGTTTTGCTCATGTGTTTTCTCCCATTTCAAACGATCTTACCCCTTTTGGTCATTATCTAAATTTTCAGGTTTGCTAGATTTCTATCTTCTTTGTGAAGACTTCCCTGGTAGTATCAAAATATTTTGTTTCTCTGAATTCTTAAAACAGTTACAGTCTGAAATACTTGTTAAAGTGTGCAAACATACATGATTTTGTACTTTGGTATTTGACTTACCCCACACCAATACTTAATCTAAACATGAGAAACTCTTTAAGGAACGGAAGTCAGGAGCTGAGGTTTTTTTTTTTTTTGGTTTGTTTTGCTTTCCATTTTCTTTTCTCTTATGCTTCCCACTGGACATGAGGTAGGAGAAAGCTGATTTTAACTGGGGGTCTAGTTGCAGTAGTCACTGAGCTGTATATAAGAATTTTTCATTTAATTCTCCAGACTTCCCAGTACCTAGCACAGAACTTCACATTCTGACATACAGTAAACATTCCGTAAGTATACATAATGCATGGATGAATGGGCCATATCTTAAACTATCGGCTCTCAATTCCAAACCCAGGCATCTGTCCTCTGCTTTGTGATACTGGGACTCTTTGCAGTCACTTTTCTCTTTGCCATCTACCAATAGAAATGCCAGAGGCTGGAGAGGGAAAGAGACCTGCTCTTTCTCATTTGCTCATTGTTCTTTGAGTGCCACTCCAGTGATGCCCTATCACTGGCATGGCAGCTGGCTCTAGTGTCTAGCTCTTTGTAGCGCCTTTCCAGAATCTGTTGAAACTCAGCTCTGTGGGCCTCTTAAGGGTCAGAGATAACAGCACCTCAGAAAAGCTGATCCCTCTTCCTCAGATACCTGACTCTCAGCTCCACAGGGTCTTTCTTTCAAGCTTCTAGCTTCTAATAACCCCAACCTCTGTCCTTTGTTCTCCCAGCCCCTCAGGGTGGTAGCTGCTTCCTTGATGTCCATATTTTGCTTTTTTGTTGCTTTAACAACTGCTTCCACCACCTGTCTATCAATTTATTGTACTGGAATAGCTTGGGTGTTGTAACACTAGAAACCATGCCATTGTGTTTCAAATACCAGCAGGGTCACCCATGGTGGATAGGTTTCAGCAGAACTTCCAGACTAAGATAGATGAGGAAGAGAGGTCTGGCAATCTACTTCCACAAATTAGTCAATAAAAGCTTCATGGATCACAACAGAATATTGTCTGATAAAGTGCTAGAAGATGAGTCCCATAGGTTGGAAGATACTATGCAACAGTGGACTCAAACATACCAATGATCATAAGTATGGCTCAGGATTGGGCAATAGCTCATTCTTTTGTACCTGCACTAAGAGTCACAGCTGACTTGATAGCAACTAACAGTAATACCTACCTAACCAATTGCTGAGAGATTGGTATGATTTTTCTAATTTTACAGAAGGGAAAATATAGACTCAGGGACATTACACTAACTCTCTCAGGTCCCAGAACTAGAAAGTGTCAAAGTCAAGATTCAAACACAAACTGAAAAAACAACAGAAAAGCTGCTGCTTAGTTTTGTGCAGCATAATTCACAGAGTAGAGGCCCAAATATGTATGTTAATTATTTGATTTGTAAGAGTGCCTGGAATATTGTCTAGCTCATGTGCAGGCATATGGCATCTGGTAGTTCTGTTTCATAACTGATTTCAATTTTATCTTTGCTGTGAGTACATATTTGTCAATGATATTGTTCCAGACAGTTTTATCATCTGCATTGCTGACATGAAAGATACATAATTGTCTCTGGTATTTGTGACGGAAATAATCATTAGGCAATTTCAGCCTTGCAAAGTCACTGTAGATACACTTTTATCACTGAAAACCCTTTGATCTGGTCACTAATTTTCCTGGGGGATAAGCCCTTTTTCCTATGATTATTTTACTCTTTCATGAGCATTTTTGTGTTGTTCTAACATTCTTTTAGTCTATTCCGAAGCTTATTTCAGCTTGAGAAATGGGAGTAGGGAGTATGGAGACAATTGCTCCGCTGCATACCTGGCACCACTATTTTTGCTTAGTTAATTACCAGTTACAGAATTATACTGTATATTTATCAGTATTTAAAGGTGTAGATAGAAAGAAGGACTTAGAATAGCAGATAGAAATAAAAAATAAAAAGCATTTTCCTGGTACCAGGTACTGAAAAAGAAAGAGGTCATATGATAGATGTTTAGGGAAATGCATCCTCAAAATTATGAATAAATTTATGTGATTTCCTGAGGAAATACAAGAGGCCAGTATTTTTGCTTGGAATCCCTGGGTGGTGCAGTGTTAACACTCCACCACAAACCAAAAGATTAAAGGTTTGAGTCCACTCCAAGGCACCTCAGAAGAAAGACCTGGCAATCTACTTCTGAAAAAATCAGCCACTGAAAACTCTATGGAGCACAGTTCTGCTTTAACACACATGAGGTTGCCATAAGTCAGAATCTCCTTCAAGGCATCTGGTAAGAGAGGTATTTTTGCTTAGTTAATTACCAGTTACAGAATTATACTGTGTATTTATCAGTATTTTAAAGGTGTAGATAGAAAGAAGGACTTAGAATAGCAGAAAGAAATAAAGAATAAAAAGCATTTTCCTGGTACCAGGCAAAAATTCCTGTTAGGAAAACAATTTTTAATTCTTAATTAAGAAACAAAGTCACAAAGGAAGTAGTAGGCTATTTCTCTCTAAGAATACACCTATACACACAAAGAAAGATTGCTTAAAAAGTACTTGGGGGTTTGGTGACCTTTCCTAGAAATTATTTCAATTTTACATTTGAGAGAGCTGTCTTTGAGAGTGAACATGTAGCTTGCAAGTTGTCTTTGGGAAAGGGATATCAGTTCCTCCACATCACCAACTTCACAACTTCATCCTCATAGTCATCTCTATTTGTATTTTCCCTCAGGCACTTAGCAATATCTCTATCACTCTCTGTGTGTCTCTCTCTGCCTCAAAGTGTTTCCAAGATTGTAAATCTTTACAGAAGCAGACTGCCACATTATTCTTCCATGAAGTAGCTCGTGGGTTTCAACCACAAACCTTTATAAAGGCAGGCTCCCCAAACCCCATAGCCTAGCATATTGTTATATGATTATATTAGGTTCTCAGTAAATATTTACTGACTGAATAATGAAAGTTATTTGTGGTAAGTTAGTTGAGATCTTTAAGCAGGATTTCTCAGACTTGTCAGTAATATTAACATTTTGGACCAATTTTTTTGTTGTTGTGTGTGTGTGGCTGTGTGGAAACAAGGTTGTCCTGTGCACTGTAGGATATTTAGCAGCATGTAAACATCAAGTTGCTAGGAGCTCTGGTAGCGTAGTGCCTAAGGCACCTGACTGCTAACCAGAAGGCTGACGGATCAAACCCACCAGCCACTCCTCAGAAGGAAGGTTGGGCAAGCTACTTCCATAGTGATATCGCCTCGAAAACCCAAGGAGGGGTCACTATGAGTTGGGTCTGACTCGATGGCAAATAACAGCAACAACAACAAACATCAAGTTGCCAGTAGTGCCCCCCCCCCCAGTTGTGACAACTGAAAGTGTCTCCAGACATTGCTAACTGTCCCCTGTGGAACAAAATTGGCCCTGGTACAGAACTACCACTTTAAAGAATTACTTTCTCAGTGATCAAGTTTCATGTCTACAAAAAATTCCTCATAATCACTTACCCAAATGAAAGGAGGTAGGTTGCATTTTATAAGTACACATAGTCCTCCTTACACAGTATGAGAAATGACTGGAGGAAGATCATCTCTGTGGACACCTGATTCAGATAATTTTTAACACATGTATAAAGAGCCATCTGAATTTGGATCTTCTAAAACAACAACACTGGAAAGTTAACAAGAGTCGATGTTCCAGGGTTTCAACAGCAGAGACAAATATTTTCTCCAGATGCTTCATTGCTTAACAGCAAATGAGTTGAAGAAAGAAGTGAAAGCTTCATCATTAAGTATAAGATACTCATTTTAAATATACATTTCCTTAGCCTCTGTGTAATACACGTTTTCTCTGTGTTCTGTCGACATCTATTGCTTCAGCCAAAGAGAGGATGGTAATTATTGTGAGTGAACCCAGAATGCCCTACCATCTTCCCGTGGCTGCCCAGCACCCTGGGGATGTGTGTGCTGTAGAAAGCCAGCTTCTCTAAACCAGCTGAAGCAAATCCTGCTGGCGGCGAGGAATCAGCTCCAGGAAGGCAGCCAACAGCATC